CTCGATGTTCCTGTTTCGTGATGGAAATAAGAACAATAGTAATATATCTCAACAAGGTGAGATATACTCTCTTCTCAATATCAGATCTAGGTCTGAATATCGAGGAAACCAACAAGCAATAGCCAACACACAGAAAATAATAAAGACACGAGATTTACGTGGTTCGACAAATTTGCCTACGTCCACGGTGAGGGGTGAAGGAAGATTCTACTATGAATGAGAACACCGATGACTTGCACAACCAGCAAGCTCATCCCAAAGAGAAGAGGCTTCTATTTTACCCAAGAAAAATGACCTCTTTCTTGTACAATCGCTCCAAGTTCTCTCTCTTTTCTCTCCTCAAGATCTCACCTTTTAGATCTGAAAAACTCTCTCTACAGCCGATAAAAAACCTCAGAAAACCCTCTAGGAAATCCTAGTTCATAGGAGCAGATCTCCAAATTCCACTCTCCAAATTGGAATATTCTAGGAATATGAATATTTCAATTTGGAGAGTGGAATTTGGAGATTTGCTCCAACCCACACTCTCTAAATATTTTTCATTTTATTTTTTGTCAAAAAAGTCATATAAATTAATAATGTTGGATATAGTTTACATTAATAATTTTATTTTTAATAATTTATTTATAAAAAAATAATAACATTAGAAAGGTGTCGATGAGAGCTTTAAAATGAACCTAATATTAATAATGTAATACAACATATTAAAAAAATTAAAATATGAAATACACTGACAAATCATACATCGATATAACAATGAAGCAAACGTAAACCTCTAATACAACATAGCATAGGTCGCAAACATAAACCACAAACATAAAATATGATAACATACAATTAAAATTCGCAGGTCATTATCGTTATAACTACCGATTCCATTCCGATCTCTCGATGAACCCCCATATTCATTTCTTCCTACAGAACCTGTTCTCCCACAAACTGAGAAAATCCTTCTTGATCTCTAGAGGGAAATCCATATTCGTTTTATCCTCCTACAACTCCTCTAAGAAGCTCAGAAAATCCTCTTCAATTGGCCCTTTGGAGGAAAATCCATAGTCGAATGATGGAGCTCTATATTCCTTTCTATTAATAATTTCTTATTTTTTTGTTGATAGTAAGCACGTTCACTTTGATCGATAATATTACTTTGATCAACGATCAATCAATATAATTTGTCTATCATCGCTTTCACGCTGAAGAGCTAATTGTTGGTCACGTTGTTCTACTTCTCTAGCTCATAATTCTAATTTTATTTTTTCATTTTTAAGTTTCATTATCATTAATCGATCCATTTTTCCTACTCATTTCACGTTTAGCATCCATCTCTTGCATACTCTTAATTCCCTCCTCATAACTAAACTCCGCCGACTTTTTTCCCTTTGCCTTCTCCTTCTTTCTTCCAACAGACCGACTTGTTGGGCTGTCCGTAGGAGACTAGACATCACTCATGTTCATAAAACTTTCGCTCTCCGTGTTAAGATCCATAACGTACTCTGTTGCATTAGGTCTGCTTTACGTGTTAAGATCCAACAATGATTCTCGAGGTAGTAGCCTCATATGAATTATCGATATGACATGCTTTTTTTGTATTACCAAGATCTAACAATGATATTAACGTACTACAGTCTTTAAATTTGTTTGACCAACTAACACAAGGTATTTCCCCTCCTGCTAATTATAGTATTTTAGTAAAGAATTATGATACAGGTTATTACTTGATCGATGATATATACCCCAAATGGTCTACTCTTGTACAAACAATATCCCAACCACAATGGATGGCCTAAGAGGCAGCTCTTTGCTGCTATGCAAAAAGGACAACGAAAAGATGTAGAGCAGACTTTTAGCGTTCTTCAGTCACGATTTTCCATCAAGGGACCATCACGTTGTTAGGACAAGCAGGGACTACACGATATAATGACTGCTTGTATTATATTACATAACATGACTGTGGAGGATGAACGCGATGCAAAACCAAAGATTATTGTTCACGACGAATCTTCAAGACCTGAAGAGATGAAGATTGATGATGCCGAACGATTCTAATGATTCCTTGATTGACATAGGAAGATTCAAGATAAGGAAGCTAATTTTATGCTTCGGAACGCACTAATTGAACATTTATGGCAGAGGCACAGCAACGAATGAATGTAATTTAAATATTATAATTTATACTTGTATTTTCTTATGGAGCAAGTTAAATAGAATCCCATATTTAAATTTTCATGTCTGATACTTATTTATTTAATTTAAAAAACAATAATTTTATAATAGTACTAAAATAAATTAATCTTAGTTTTATTTTGAAGATCTTGGCGAGACATTTCCAAATATATAATTATTTCAAAAATTAGATTAATAATTTTTTAACTATATTTATTTGAAATCAAACATCTAATTTAAATTACTAAGAATAATGACAAAGTGGTAATTTTTAAGAAATTAAATAGTTAAAAGTGACAAAGTTGTAAATTTTATAATGTTTGCATTCAGTTTGGTTAGTAGGTTCATGTCGCAACCAACAGAGCTTCACCTTATGGCAGCCAAGAGGGTTTTGCGTTATGTGCAAGGTACAACTAATTTTGGGATTTTTTATAGAAAGGGAGGGAACAAGGAGTTGATTGCTTTCATATATAGCAACTATGTTGGTTCATTGAAGGATAGGAAGAGCACATCAGGTTATGCATTTATTTTGAGCTCTGGAGTGGTTGCTTGGTCGTCACGAAAACAACCAATTGTTACTCTGAGTACGACTGAGGCAGAATTTGTAGCTATTGTAGCTTGTTCATGTTAGGTTGTGTAGATGAAGAGGATACTGAAGAAACTTGGCTATGAAGACAGTGAGAGCACCACCATTTTCTGTGACAATAGTTCAGCTATTAAGTTGTCCAAGAATTCTGTAATGCATGGTAGACGCAAGCATATAGACGTGCGTTTTCACTTCCTACGAGATTTGGCTAGAGAAGGAGTCGTGCAATTGAAACATTGTGGAACACAGGAGCAAGTGGCTGATGTGTTAACCAAACCACTTAAGCTGGAGTCATTTCAGAGGTTGAGAGATCAATTGGGAGTCTATGATGCACCTACAGTAAACTAGTTGCTTAACCAATCTAGTTTAAGGGAGGGAATGTCATGGCTTAGAGTTTGTTATTCTGTTAATAAGTGCCCTGGTCTTGAGGGTGATGTTGTTACTGCTTTGAATCTGTTACTGCTTTGATTTCTTCCTAGTTTAGTTACCACATTTTTAGCTGATAATGTGTGCTGCTCTCATTTTTCAGTTTTCATCTTGTAAGGCTTTTATATAGCCAAAGTTGCTTAAAAAATAAACGAAGTCATTCCTTCACTTTGTTTTACTCTGATCTTGAAACTGTTCTAGATCACACAATTCATAACATCTCTAATACCATCTTAAAGTACGCTTCCATTGCACCAAAAATTGAGCATTATGGTTGTATGATGCATATGTTACACCAAAAATTGAGGTTATGGTTGTATGATGCATATGCTAAGTAGAGCATGAATGATTGAGGATATGTTACACCAAAAATTGAGGTTATGGTTGTATGATGCATATGCTAAGTAGAGCATGAATGATTGAGGATGCATTGGATTCGTTTGAAAAGATCCCGTTGTATGATGCATATGCTAAGTAGAGCATGAATGATTGAGGATGCATTGGATTCGTTTGAAAAGATCCCCACGAAAGATGATGTTAGTATAGTGGGTTCTCTTTGAGTGTTTTTAGAAAATAAAAATCCTCTAAATTAGATCGTTGAGTATGTGGCTAGTCAACTGATGGAGATTGAACCAGGAAATGAGTCAATTAATACTGTGTTATATTAAATATTTTATATATAATTTTGCTGTGTATACATGATATTGTATTATTTTTCACATCTTTGTTATATTCTTAATATGGATTATATAATTATCTTGAAAAGTAGAGCAGGAAAGATTGAGAATGCAATGGATTTGTTCTTAAAGATCCCCATTAAAGTTAATGTTAGTACAATGGGATCTCTTTTTGAGTGTTTGCTAAAAAAAAAATCTCTAAATTAGAAATCATCGAGTATGTGACTAGTCTACTATTGAAGATTGAACCTAGAAAATGAGTCAACTAATGCTTTGTTATACTCAATATTATACTATATAGAATATTTTCTTTCATATCTTTGTTATTTTCTTTATATAGATTATTTAATAATCTTGAAGGACAAATATTTTTCCTCACTTCGTAAAAAAAATTATCAAAATTAAAAAAAAAACTCAATATTGCTAAAAAATGGATTAAATCTTTCAACTTTGCCTATTCTTAATACATGTTGCTTCATCACGTGTGAGAAATGACCCAAACAAACCAATAACCCATCAATTTGCCTGTTTTCACTCATCGACGGCTTGGGAGGTCTTAGATTTTCCTAATTTAATAAATTTTCTGTATAATGAGGCAATTTCGTTGGTCTGGAAATGATGGAATTCCTCGTGATTATTTGATTTCCTCCTTTATCTAAGTTCCGTTTAAACCAGATATTATCATTTTAATATTTAAGTTCACATCAAGAAGAAGTGAGGAGACCTGCGCCATTAAATACATATGAATAAGGCTATGCTCACATTTCTATGTAATCAAGCATGACTCACCATGTTTTTGCTCTCCAAGAAGTTTCCACAAACCAGGATCTTTTGAATCATTTGGATTGTTTCATTTGGATTGTTGTAATACATACTCACGCTCATGATTATTTTGTTTTTCTCTGTCCAAGATTTTCTTAAAAACCACAGAACCATGGGAATCATTTGGGTGGTGCAGCATACTGCTGCTGCAAGTAAAATCTAAGTTTTGAAAGGTAGTAATCTGGCTCCATATTAATATTACACATAAAAGTGGCCAATTAGCTGACAAACTTGTGTTCAATTCCCCCTTTATAAAAAGAGAGAGCAAGATGGAGATACTCAACTAACAGAGTCCATTAAAATACACAACTGCAGTTTATCAGTCATATCTTAATGACCTTCAGACTCAATAATCTCTGATTTCGACCGATAGAAGAGAGAAACATGCTTGATTAACAAAACTTTTACAACGGGTTCAAAAAAATAAAATAAAATAAAAACTCACTAAATTATTTTACTAGTTGGTACACTAGCTCATCCCCTGTAAGGAATCAATATGTAATTAAAACTAAATTACAACACTGTGAAGACAATTCAAGTAAGCATTACTGTCCAGTGGCTGGATGTGTGGCTGTGTCGTAAGCAATATCTGCAGAAGATGTGTCCATGTCATTCAAACCCAACGCCTCATTCTGCTCCCAGCTTCTCTCATACTCTTCAGCTGAAGTTTAAACATTGCATTTATAGTTAATATTCTTCATTAGTATGGCGATAATTGATTATATATGCACTACCTAGAGAAAAAAAAACATTATTAAATGGCTCACCAATAAGCTGTTTGTCATCTTCTATGGCATCTGTAATTGGTGAAATGAAGGAACTCGCCATTGCATCATCAAGGATCAAAGTCCAGGATTCCTCCAACTCAAGGAGCTGCACAATCATGAAAACAGAAATATACAGACAAACATCAGTGTATGCATAACTTCATACACATCTAATATAATAACCAAAATGCTTCTTCAAAAAACGATAGTTTCATGATTGGCAGTTCAAAATAATCGTCAGCTTGGTGACACATTAGAATAGCACGGTTATAGAAATAGGCAGAATTTGGGAGATATCTCTGCTAAATACTTCACAGACAAATAAAGCAAAGGCCAACCCATTTTATTTTATGTATCTTATAAAAGGTAAAGGTAAAAAAAAAAGAACAAAGATTTAAGTCAATATCACTTATTTAATCATGAAAGTGCAATAAAGAACAAAAAAATTTAAGGGTTACTTACACGAGTTGCTACCTCATAAGGTACTAAGACTTCCTTAAGAATAGGAAGGATAGCAAACCTATCCTTTTTCAAAGGTCTGTTTGGGTCTCGAAATTTGATTAAGAAGCCTTCGTTGTTTGCTGTTCACTTTGCACAATCAGAAGTAGACTTCCCAACATTGATGCTAAACACTACTGGCAACAGCCATAGTTTCTCTGAGACCATTATCGCTAGTCGACCGAGATAAGATCGGTGTCCAGATTAAAGTACCCTTCTAAATATGCTCAAATTTGAGCATAAAATTAAGGGTTGCGGACTGCAGACAAGCTAGTAAAACATGACATAAAATTTATAGGGAGCAACAAACGAGAAAAGAACCTACGATACTTCACGATGAATCCCCGTTGTTGCCAGAGATTAAGTATAGCACAGTAAAAGAATGAAGATCTGTGGAACTGGATAATAATTAAGTAGAATGCATACCTTCATTAGCCTCGACTTGAAATCCTGCCATTTTTTCTTTTTCCACTCATCAACGCTATCACCCAATTGAAATCCATGTATTCTCTCCAAACCTGTAAGCAATTATGAAAAATACATATGTAACTAATAAAAAGAGTATAAGCTATACACGTAATATATTATTTATGAAATAATGATTACTGTTATATACAATAAGTGAGTGAAGAAACTTACTTCCGTTGATTTTAGTAATTAAACCTTCAACAGTTGTGACCATCCCGCCCAAGGTACCACTTGCAAGCTCCAGGTCCAACTCAGGAACTATCACGCTGGCGGTGTCGGACTGGAAACATACAACAAATTAAGTACTGAGATTGACTTGTCCTAAGAAATTAATGCTTCTAGAACAAGGAACCAATACAGCATTTTAAAATAACAAGTTATAGCAAGACACATAACCTAATTAAGGTATGGCCAATTTCGCATAGTAAGTGCCTCATGGTGCCAAGATTTTAAACATGCAACGATATGCATTATCCGATACATACATAACACACTACAAACATTTTTTCCTTCCCGTGACAGATTATTCTTAGTATCTTCTTATTTTCTGGGAATTGAGTCTACTGTTTTAATAGAGATATCGGATAAGAAAGTCAGAAAGAGATTCATATTCTATTGCTGCAGGTTTACGTCAAGACTCCACCCTAATTCTTCATCACTTGTCACTAATCCTGCATTAATACTTCAGAAATCTTAATAGTGAAATAAGCTGAATGACCACAGTGTCTTCTCTATTTACCTGGTCTCATTAAGGTTCCCCTATCTGCTTAAATTTCCATGCCTACCTAGCATTGTCTGCGGGACCTCGATTCGTAGAGGTCCCTCCTAATCCTCTTGTTCTTCCTCCAGCGCACACCAAAGAACAAGATGTCCCTTTAATAGTTGATAACGATCTTAGCATGTACTCTCATAAGAGTTGATAATGATATTTCAAATTGTCCCTTCTTTTGAAGGCCAAGGGCAGAATGCTGATTCATGATACTAAAGTAAGGAATAATATAGGATCAGGGAGGGCTTTGTTACCACCAATCGGCTCAGACTTCATGTTAATTTTGAAAGTATATAGTTAAAAGAATATTTGTAATCTAAGAGTTTTTATGCAAAGTTTTCACATAGTTTCCAACTCCAGCCATAAAAGCCTACAGTTATTCCTGCATGGTTACTGTTATGAGGTGTATAATGTAACTTTCATAATGCATTATGGGGGATATTTCTATATCAAATGTATTTACCCAATTTTAAAACTAAAGAGATATATCTAAAAGCTGGCACTAGTACACCACACTGCATTAAAAAAGCATCACTGTGGATGGTATCAGTGTATCACCAGGAGAATCGTTGTCTAGTAGCCAGTCAGTTGAAATCTGAGGAGGATCCTGCATGACTTTGTGGGTTGTGGGCTGTGGGTTATGGGTTTGGGTTCTGGGTTTTGGAACTTGGATTTTAGATTATAGGTTAAGAATTAGGTTGTGTTGGACTATTTGGAAATGGTGTAGCATGTTCTAATCCAGATTGGTCTGGGCCGAGTCCATGCTGAATATGGGCAGGATTTAGCTCCAGGTTTGGTTCATTTTCAATGTCCATGCTCGGATTTGTCCCAGATTAGTGCCAATCCAATCAATAAGTGCAAGGAATGAGAACTAAATGAAGTGTGCCTATTCATCTTTCTACAGGAATATGTATGATAATGCAATTTAAGTTTAAGAAATTTTATATTATCCCTTCCTTTTTTCCCCCAGCTTGGTTCCTACCGAATCTATTCACGCCCAAACCAAAACGGGCTGGTTCAGTGCGGTTTGTGGGTCAACCCAACGCGTCTGCTAAGCCTACTCTACTCCTCATTTTTCAGTCAATTATAAATTATAATCTCTCTCTCCTTATTGATGCATTTAATGACCCCATTTCACATTCTCCTAATTAGATGCATTTAATGGCGTGCATTGCACATGACAAAACCACCTCAATGCTAATGATACTACGATGTAGAATAGGGTTTTCAATACTTTCCAGAAATTATCTACTAATGAGAATGTAAGGTTCTCTTCTTAGTAAAGGAACTTGCTTCTAGCAACCTTAATAAAGAAGATCTGAATATCATAGATTTCGATAACAAAGAGACAAGGTCTGTTCCAGATAAATCCTCTACACATGTTGTTGCTGATTCATTATGTCCCTAGATATCAAAGTATACGTCCATATTGCTGATTTCAAGCCAATAAAGAACAAAATAGCTTAAATAATAGACTTCAATCTCAGTACAGAAAATCTACTGCGCTTGTCAAGAAACGTGTGCTGATAGGTTGATAATCGGACATTACAGTTTTGAGATACTTTTATAATGTGCCGAATTCAACGCATGAAAGTTAATTGTGCCTGTACTCTTCACTCTATCTTAGCTGTCTGTCTGATCCATATGCCAAAGTGAACCCAAATAACCCTGCCTAGTAGTCCCTTCAAATAGTCAGGTAGTTTGAGGAGATCACAGGCAGATTTTGCAATATTTGCAATTATGTTAATCTAATTCATCTGATAGGAATTTAATCTCACCAGCCAGAGCACAAGTATGCAAAACGTCGGGGGTTAACAAAGTTGATTTATGATCATATAGCATGCTGCATAGAAGCTGAAGTTAATCAACATCATAAATTTGGCTAACCTCTATATTAATGACCATACTTATGCAAATACATATTCCACTGAAGCAATTAAAATAATCAGATATTGTCTATGTTACCTGGGTATTTCTATTTGCAGGCCATACCCGTACCTAGCACGTACCCATACCCGTACTTCTTAGATACTTCTTGAATATAAGCATATGTTTTTTCAATCATATACTCAATTATATACTATATGTTTTAATTCAAAACACTCCCCATACACTCATATACACTTCTTGGAAGTATTTCTGCACTTCACAACTATTTTCTAATGTATTGATCTTATATAAATAAAAGAAACAAGATTGATCATGTGTAAATTATTAATTTTAATACATATAAATATACACAAATTACATATTTACAGCTATGCCCCCGTACCCTACCTTGTACAAATTTGTCAAGTGCCGTACCCGTGTCCCGTACCCGTATCAGCACCGTACCCATACCCATGCAACTTAGGATACCTTTAATGATCATGCTAAATGAAACTCACATAAAATGAAACAATTCAAACTCTTAAAAGTCACAACCATTGCACCAAAACTCCAAAGTTGTGGTGAGGGTTGAGAGTTGTATTTTTTATATTGTAACATGCCATCGCAGGTTGAGGGCTCTTTTTTATGGGCCAATACCCGGACTCATACAGTAGTGTTAAGTATTAGAGAATCCGCTTTAAATTCATGGCTGGTGGGATTTGAAGTTGGGTTGCTTAAATACCATCTTAAAGTCACCACCATTACACCAAAACTCTAAAGTTGTGGTGAGGGTTGAGTGTTATATTTTTTAGATTCTAACAGTAACAGTAAACGATAACACGATCTGTATGCAATATTGTAAAATTTGCTTGTTACTCAGAGGGAACAACAAAAACTAAAAAGACAAATTGAAGAAGGTAAGAGGGGACCTTGATCACATCCCGGCTAAGATCTTCTACGTTGTGGACAGATAGTGTAATCTTCCTTCCTTTTTTAGGAATTTCACCACCAGGCTTTAACTGCTCATAAAAAAGGTATAAGCAAAAGATCAGCAGAATTCCAACATAGAAAGCATCAGAACTCAAAAGATTGATCACAGACCTAGAACCTAACATATTAATCACCAACTAGAATATGTTCCCAGAAAGCCACATACCTCAGAGCTACGATAACCACACATATCACAAGTAGTCGCCATTACAATAACTTCTTGAAAATATGGAATTTCTACAAGTAGTTAAAGCTCAACAAAATTCATTTTGCTAATGCTTAGAAAAATATCAGTATCAAAATCTCCTAGTTGTATCTTCAACATTTGACGATCAAAAACCTCTTTATGAAGTTTCCACATCTTCCACCCACTCTATATTATTTTAGAGATGGCACCAGTCATTTGTGATAAACTATGTTTAAGATGATGGCAACATCTTCCCTTAGTGTAGATTTTATCAGTTTGGTGAATTTAATTCCCAAATGAACGCAAAAATTTTATTCCTTTTTGGGGCATCTTGTAACGCTTAACAAGATAGCTTATAACTATTTATTAAAGCATTTCTTTCTAGAAAAGTACATTTAAGAAGGAATATATACTAGACTAACTCTATGCTTCAAAAAACATATTTTCAAGTTAATTTAGACCGATGCTTGAGACAGAATACATGTGATGAATTGCCAACCACATTTACCTTAGCTATGGCTAAATGCCAACAAAGAGGTATGAAAATATATCAGAAATTAGTTTGTGCGCCAAAATGACAATTTTGTTGTAGCAAAAAGTTACTAGAGCCTTAAAACATTCCTAAATGATGCTACAAAGAAGAAAAGGATACTGGTGGCATAAAAATGAGTTACACATGCAGCTGCACAGGCCCCACATGAAGATGGCAAAGTGTCAACCTGCACCAGAAAGCCAAGGATATTCAGGAAAGTTGGGAGTTAAAATGTGTCAGATGCATCCAGATTCCAGTAAACTGCACTTTAACCATACCTCTTCTGGTGCTGAGTATCTACACAAGGCTGCAGCAACTTGGTCAGGATTGACCTGAGCAATTCCGCGACGACCAGCAACTGCTCCAACTGAACCATGGGGAACCCTTTGCATTGTGTTGGCTCCAAGATTGTTTTCCTCAGCTGAAATGCCTCTGTTAACATTTCCATTTATTTCTTCAGCTGATGGTTGATCGACAAGAAAACCCAAGGATGCTTGTTGTTCCCGTGTCCTCTCATAAAACTGGATAGACAACAATGGATCCAAAGACAGCGCAGACCTTGTAATCGTGAAATAAATGTGAAAGCTTATACAAACATGTCAAGAACCTTCCTATAAATAAAATCATTACATAATCACATAAAATAACTGTAAACTTATTGGGTGTGAGGGTGTGTGTGAGAAGGGTAACAGAAAAAATTGCCTATTAGAGCCCTTTTAAGACCACGCCACATTTTTGTGCCCATTGATTGCCAGTTTGCCACTGTATTACTGATCAAATTACCGTGCAGTTTTTCCTGAGACAATGGTCCTTCAATTGCTCTTCGCGAAACAATTTACGCACACTATCTAAGAACAAATAGAACTAGAAAAAGTCAAATCTGTTCATGGGGATTAACCATTATATACTTTTATGTTCATGAAGTCTTGCAGCTTTTAGATCAATGATGTGTTACATTATTAGCATGAAAATATTTTCCAATTAGCTGACAGGACACTTTCCTGTCAGTTTTTGTTCATTGAAACATAGTTACTTTCTTCTGCATCTGTATAGATATCTATTCTGAAATATCTTTTTATGTTTGTCAATGCAGAAGTTCTTTGCATGAGTACTGAAGCAGGCCCCTGACTAAACCCAGAAAACAACATGATTTGACACATTAAATTTAGTATGATTGTACAACAATGGGTTTACACAAGTATATTTCAGACCCGTGAACTATGTAAATGGCTAAAACTTTGGGGCGAAGTTCTTTCCTAACATGGTATAAGTTCACACCTCAGTTTGCAATTTAAAGATATGTTTATTACACCTCAGTTTGCAATTTAAAGATATGTTTATTGACTTCAATTTATTTTGGCTTTCCATGTGACTAATTTTACGAAGATGGTTTTTCTGTGTGGCCCAGAAGGCCTACAAAATAGGAGGTATTAAATTTTATACTTGGTGTGCACGCTATATATTTAGCCTGCATGCTTCGTAAATGTTTTTACAAGAACAAATGTTGACAAAATATTATTAATAAACACAGACAAAAATCTGCAAACAAGCAAAGTTCGAACCTAGACCCTCTTGCCTGATGATAGACAGCTAGAGTTCCTTAGGGATGCAACAAAGTTCGAACCTAGACCCTCTAGCCTGATGATAGAGAGCTAGAGTTCCTTAGGGATGCAACAGGACGTTGATAATCTGATTCCTATATTTGTTTTCTGAATGTGGATATTCATATTTGACATCCAACTTAAAATATTAACATTATTATGGTGAAGATCAAAACATCTGAATGTGTGTGAATATGCAGAACTATGTGTATGTGTATGTGTATATTAATATTTATATATATATATATATGTATACGTGTACGTATACGTATACATATGTATACGTATATACATACATATATACATACGTATATACGTATATACATATATATACATATGTATATATATATGTATATATATACATACACATATATATACATACATACATATATACGTATATACATATATATATATATATATGTATCTATATATATATATATATATATGTATGTATATATATATATATATATATATATTAATTAATTATAATATATATTATATAATATACATAATATAATTATAAGCATGTATCTACATACATACATATATACGTACATACACCATATATATATATATATATATATAATATATATATATATTATATATATTATATTATATATAATATAGTAATATATATTATATAGTATATATACATATACATATAATATATATATGTATGTATGTATAATATGTGTGTATGTATATGATACACATTACATATACGACATATATATATACATACACGACACACATTATATACATATACAGTGATAAATATATCTATATATATGTAAACATATCATATAAGATATCATATACGCATAACATATACTTCGTGTATGTATGTTATAATATACTACAGTATATATACATTTAATATACATATATTATATATACACACAAACACATGTGTGTGTGTGTTGTGTGTATATATATTAATACCATGTATATAATCAAACAATGAGATAGCTTGTTTAAAAAAAAGATAGGCAAATGACGGTACACACTTTCAATTGTTTCAAAAGAGAAAACTAACAATAGCTGATGATATATCTCCTCAAAACTATATTCATTACTATTGACAAATATCTAAAAACAAAATAGGATTTGACTAATATGAATATTGAGTGAGAATATGTGTCCAAAAAAGTACCTGCTAAAAGAAAACAAGTACGGACAATATAATGCTTATCCGCTCTGTTTGCATCCTTAGACCTTTTCTAATCGTCAAATAAAATTAAACATGAATCTAAAGAAAAAAGGTACTTATATAATGTTCCAACTGATACTTCAAACAACTGAATCTGGCCATATTTCAGGTATTGAAGACAAATATATGGCAAGTACGCAGCAATCTGAATGAATCCCAATCAGAAAAATAGGCTTACGGATTCTCAACAAAGCTGTTTCCTGATGGATCATCAAGAATGAAGGTAAAAGAAAAATTCCCCGCTGCAAATGATCTTAACTTCACCAAGAATTGATCTATGGCTTCCGCAGTCCCTGGGTCCACTTTCTGCAAAATCAATGATCTTAACTTCACCAAGAATTGATCTATGGCTTCCGCAGTCCCTGGGTCCACTTTCTGCAAAATCAATAAGTAAATTATATGTCACTATTAGAGAATTGTAATACGGATAAAAAGAATAAAAGATGCCCGATGCACCTTTCTTTCATCTTGAAGGGCCTGCAACTCATCCGCAGCTCGTAGAAGTATTCCTTCGACCTAGTAGCATAAAACAAATAACCCATGGATAAATAAGGCAAAAATCACGGGAAATCACATCCAACAAGATTTATAGCATAGTAAGGATGTACAAATTACAGAGCTCAGAAGAATATCAGAAAGAGAGCTTCTAAATATAGGATCCATATTTATATTCTCTAGTACTGTGTGAACCCTAAGCTCTCGAAGAAAGTCATCAATAAAACCCTAAGTATATTGCATTGCGGACTTCATATTCTCAGAACATAATTATTAATTTCTTTAAAAAGTAATAGTCAATATATTTTCAACTGCCTAATAGTGGTACATAAAATCAACCACACATCACCAGTATATAACTATATAATTAAATCTCATAAATGATATTAGCTCTAACAACACTTATAAAAAGAAGAAGAAAATAAAGACACTAGTAATCAGTTATAGTAGAGATCTAAGTATTTTATATTAATAGATGTAAAATCACTATAAAAAATACAATCTTCAATAGTGTTTTTATTTTAAAATTCTACGTAAAAGACAAAGCAAATTCAATTAACTTTGAATTTCTGACTAAATTTCTATTCGGCTGCATTATATCATTTATTCAGTCTCTTCAACTGTTGTAGCTAGTGTATCTTTCAATTGAAACTCCATAACTGCATTATATCATTTATTCAGTCTCTTCAACTGTTGTAGCTAGTGTATCTTTCAATTGAAACTCCATAACATACAAGAAATTAGCAGCTCACAACTTCAACTGTTGTAGCTAGTGTATCTTTCAATTGAAACTCCATAACATACAAGAAATTAGCAGCTCACAAGAAAGCTTTGCATCCCAGTCAAGGGTCCAAAGAAGGAACAAGGAAGAAGTGCCTAAATAGTAATAAAAAAGTCTTTTCACTTCTTCAAACAATAACATAAATTATCTTGTAGACATGATGACAGAAATTTAAGTGCCACTTGGAAAGCATAATTATTTGGCTTGAGAATTTTCATAATTATTTGCAGCTATGTGATTTGCATGGTTGTTTAAGAAAGATTGAACATAATCTAATATTTAATCAATAAGCAAGTGATAATTCACATATTTGATTCTTTTAGTCATCAAATATTCGTTAGTACAAATGTAATGACGACTAAATGAAGAAATCATGTAATGTCCCTAATTTTCTACTGATAATTAGTCTATATTATAAATATTAAGTTACAAAGGTCTTTGATGCAAAAAACAGATATAACAAGATATCTAATATAAATTTGTAGGGGGTTTATTGTATATGGAAGTTTGTCGAGGGGGTTTGTAGGTAATGGTGTGCTAATAAGAGAAAACCCTACCCCATGTCACCACGAGCTATTATTTCTCTGGGGAAAACGACATGAAGGAGAAAAGGATCAGACATCCATGGAGCAATGAGGGTTTTTGGATCAAGAACATTAAGCAACGCATATTATTTTTTATTTCATTAGATGATCTCATTAATTGTGGTTTGGTCATGGCTTCAACCTAGGTATTTCAAAATCTTTTATTAAGCCAAACTCTAGTACTATAGTTTCCTTTGGACCTCCGTACAAAGATTATGAATCCCTTAGTCCCCTTCTTTGGACTAGATCTCATGGCAGCAAGGTACTATGCTTCTTTTCCCATTGTTTTATATATAAAGTGACTAACACATAGCCTAGTGCAAGTCCTCCTCAACTCCTCTTAGATCTTACAAAATAGATTAATAAGAATACTTTGAGTTGGTAACTAAAAGGCGTAGGAGGCATTAGAATGATCAATTTTTCGTTAGAGGATACAAGCTATAATGCAAAACTAGTAAAGTTGAGTGAACTTAATGTACTCAGTGAAAATAATAATGAATAAGTATGTGTTATTATATCAATTAATTAGTAGGATGATTATATTGATGGCTATTTATATTTATTCTTTAGGAATTTCTAAAGGCATCCCGAAACAGTCGTGAGCAGAATTTAGATTTCTTGTGGTATTTTATAAGTGGTGAATTTATGCATTGTATACTGTGTATTTTTCTTATAAAATGATAGTAACTATATATGGATTTGTTTCTAATGGATTATATTCTTTTGTGGTACTTGCATATTTTGTTGTTTGGATATGAGGCACATGGATATTTGGTATAAGCTATGCTTATTTTCTTTGTTGACAGTCAATGTCTTTTTCATATAATAGTATGTTGAGATGCATATGCAGTTGATTTTACTAGTGGTTGGCCTTTAGCAATTCTTTGTAAAATATTTGGTTATACGAACTTTGTCCATTGTTCTCAAAGTATATACATCTCAAGTCAATATACATGTATATATTGGAGATAAGTAATTCATCTATAAAGGGCTCAATGCCTCTATGAGGTTTTTATTTTAGTACTAAGAGCCCAAGTTTGGGTCTCACTGTCCCGACCACGGGCTCAATAATAGTGGGATTTGCCAAGTCAACCGGAGTATTGAAGCATTGACCGCATTGAGATGTGGCTTGCTTATTTTCATTACATGAATATATTTTAAAAATGTTGCAATCATGATTTTTTACTATTTTAATGTTTTGCTTATCAAATCAAATTATTTTAGTTTTGCAAAAACAATGTTTAATGTGTGAATTTATCCACTTATTTGTGTTGTGAACTCATTGTGTTGTATTCATTCTTTTCTCAGGTTTAGGTGTAGTTGGTGATTTCTAAGAATCGATAGGCGGAGTTGGTGGTTTCTAAATTCTTAAAAGGGAGCAAGAAATAAAATTGCAGATTACTAATTTCTTGTACTTGGAGGATAAATAAGTCTTCAATAGGTGGAGTTGATGGTTTGTAAATTCTTAGGAGCAAGAAATAAAATTGTTGATTGGTAATTTCTTGTAGTTAAGAGGTTAAATAAGTCTTTGATGTTTAGTTGTTATTTGGAAGTTTTGTAATGAGATTTTTCTCTCTAGGTTGAGTTTTATTTCAAGTTGAGGAATATTTGTTATCTCAAATTAACTGGATTAATATTAACTTTTTATTATAAAGAAAATTAGTTATCGGTTTTAATTCATATGGTAAACGGAAATTTGGTGAATATTTGATAAATGTGAGCCGCTTTAGTCAGGCTCCAATGCTCCAGTGACGTTTTTGTCGTTTCTTTTTTTTTCAACAAAAACAAAGAAACCTGTTTGGCAACCGAGGCGTTTTTTTTTTACTTGTCACTTTACAAAATCTAAAAATAAAATATTTTTTTTAAAACACCAAAAAAGTGTTTTAAGATTCCGTTTTTTCATCTAAGTCTCAGAAAACCCGCGCAGCCGTGCGTCGCTTATAACCGTCGCTGAGGCGGTGTCATTTCGCTCACCACCGCCCACCCGGCACCGTGCGGCCGCTGGCCTGCCACCGCTCCGCGCCCCGTCGCCCTTGGGCCCGGCGCGCCCAGCCCGTCAGCACGACCGCTAGCACCCTTCACCAGACCGCCGCGCAACCAACCGGCCCGCGACGCGACGACAATTAGCCCGACCGTCGTAGCACCCTGCACCGCCCTGCTGTGCCGCCACTACTCCTCCTCATCACATCGGCAACCTACACGCCGCCACCACCGCCACTAGTACGGCACACCGCGTCGACCGCCAAGCCGTGGCCACCCACCGCCGTCCGTCGACCGACAGCAGTCCGGCATGGTCGCCGCCGCGACTCGCCTCGGCCTGCCGCCAGCTACCTGTCGCCCACAGTCGGCCACCATCCCACCCACCCCGACGCCGACTCACACCGCCATCGGCCCCCACCCCCAATCACGCGTCCGCCACAGGAGACCGCCACCCAATGCAATCCGTCCGTTGCAGCCGACCATACAGCCCCCCGCATGGCCTCACCTCGACCGACCTGCCGCCACTAGCTACGTCAGGCCACAAACCATCGGCCGCACCCGTCGGCGCGACCGTCGACCGTCACGACCGCCGACCCTGACCCCCCAGGCACCACCGGCCGCGGCCCATCCCACTGCCAAACACACCCTTAGAATTTAATTCAAGTTCGCTACTTTAATGTGGGACGGGACTGAACTTAGATGTTCTGTTTTGTAGGGCATATAGTAATATTACGATATAAATGAGTTAAATGATACTGCATTAATTCAATCAATATCCCATAAGATACAAAACGCTCTGAACTCAAAAATTTTCTTTCATTCAGAGCTTTTCAGTCAACTTCACTACGACAAGGACAAAGGCATGAACCATCCCAAGTTCAAGCAACAAACAAACAATAGAAGAAACGTTCCATAGAATGTAATTTATAGAAAAATAAAATTAGCGTAATTCACCATAGATGAAATGAAAGAAAAAGGACTTACAGTTGAAAGTTTGCCTCTTTGAGCATCTGGGGGAATCTCAAAATCTAATTCTCGAATCTGCAAAAGACAAAATAAAGTCAAAATCAGGAAATAGCAAAACAAATCCCATGAATTACGAATTTTCATAATCAACTGCTAATTATTACTCTTATAGTAGCTGAATCAGATTTCACCACTTGCCGATTGAGCACCTGAATCGAGGTTCATAATTTTAGCATTCTTATAAATTGAACAAATTCTGAAATAATAAATAGCATATGCTGAGTACAATAAAGCACAGACCTCGGCATCACCAGATGGAACCTTCAACTGATAACGGCATCCACGAGGCTGGAGCTCGCCTGCAAACTGTATCTCACTATTCCTAATTACATAAAAAATGAAACCATTAACATATCAATTACACTGAATAAAGAACTAAAATTCAAAAAAGCAACTAACTTTAATTACCTCTCATTACAATGTGGGCATTCAAACGCCATCAACACAACCTGCAGAAATCATTGATTAGATAACTGAAGTAAATAAAATTTAAAAAAAATAAGCAAACCTCGCGGAAGTGAGGGATCCGAGTCAGTAAAAGCCTGGTGATTCCCTACAAAAAGCAAAATTTGACAGATTTAATCTACTGATTTTAGCAAAATAAAAAAAATCAGTGAAAGGGGAATTTTACATTTTCTCCGCAACTCATGCAGAGGCTCTCGATCTCGTGAAGCGGCGTCGCCGAGAACTCGTCGCAGGACGATACGGAATCGGCGGCGAATCGGAGATCTTTGACTACTGCATCGTTGTCGGTCTCCATTGATCCTGCAGGAGATTGAAGATGATGCAATTAAATGTTTTTTATAAACGGGTGTTTTATTTTCTCACAGGTTCGTGAGACGCTCGAGGTTTCGGGAAGAAAGGCGAAGGTTTTAGGGCTTGATAAGGGTGTATTATTTTCTCTCAGGTTCGTGAAGCTTTAAACCGCAGCCCTAAGCCGCGAAAGGTTTTGGGTTTGGGCCAAGAATGCTCAGCATTGGCGGCCTTCTAGTTCGACTCTTCTCTCTCGGTTTGAGGGCCTGTTATGTTCCGCCGATTTTTTCTATAGAACGGGGAAGGAAATGGAATGAATAGAATTTAAGTAGGGTTGGAAACGAAGTGAATCTGAACGGACAATGCCTTGTTCGAATTCGAATTTGGCTCAAATAACACTATTCGTATTCGTGTTCGAATTCGATTCGAATAATATTCAGAATTCGAATTCGCTTCGTTTAGTTATGTTCGTGTTGAGTAACTATTCGCAAACATTCGATTAACAATATTTCATGGTTTTGATATCAAATTATTCATCAACTATTCGACAAAAGGGAATATCATGGAGAAACTATACCTGTAATAATTGCCGAAATCCTACAAATTAAGCAAAAATCCGACGAAATCCCCTAAGAAAGGCAGTGATTTCTCCAAAGCCGACAAAAAATCCGACGAAATTCGAGGGAGGAGTCGACGACGGGATTCGAGGGAGGAGTCGACGACGAGGTTGGAGGGACGACGAGCTTCGACGGAGGTTTCGACGACGAGATTCGAGGGACGACGAGCTTTGAGGGAGGAGTGAGCAACCAGTTTCGAGGGAGAACAGTGAAAACCCGAGCTCTAGAATCCACTTGGAGTCACAGATCCGAAGGAAGAGAGAGGAGAGAGGAGCCCATCTACCTGGAGTTAGATCTGAAGGAGGAGAGAGGGGAGAGGGAGAGAAAAAAAAAGAGAGAGGAGCCGAGCCAGGGTCGGATCTGGAGGAGGTGGCTCGGATCTGGAGGAGGCGGGGGCTGAAAGAAACAAAGGATAAACGTGAAAACCCTAGCCCTATAATCCTCTCTTACCTATTTTTATCGGATAGAATTTGTAAATAAAATTTTAGATAAATAATATTTGCAATAAATTCAATTAATATGAATAAAATGCAAAAACTAAAAAAAAATAGTTAATGGACTCCCGAATCGAACATACCTTTTGTTAAATTCTATTCATTTATAAGTCGAATACTAACAATTATTTGTTTAGTACTAAATGAACTATTGAATCGAACTTGATCGAATATCTAGAAGAATAATAACTGAACTGTTTATTAATTATTCGGTTCACTTCCACCCCTACTCGTAAGTTGTTTCAATTTATTCTTATTCTTAACTTTGGTTCGCTTTTATTTTATTTTATAGAATAGAATAGAATGGATATCTACTATTATATCATATGATGTAATATCATACTCTCTTTAAAAATACAAGTTCGAGAAAAGCTTTTCATAATCAATATTACTCTTCACTATTTTTAATATTTCATGTAAATTTGATTTTATCATAATTCTAATTATATCTTATACTAATCCCACGTGAACTACTTATAGCTTAACAAATTTAAAAAAATAAGATTACTAATATACATGAAACACTATTTTTAATAATTCATTTAAATGTTATACATATATATATATATATATATATATATATATATATATATATATATATATTATATATATATATATATATATATTATATATTATATATATATATATGGAAAAGTGATCTAAGTGAACAACCGCTAGGCCTCAGCACCTAAGGACAGCCGGTCTAAAATTAATTAGCATCATTTTTCTTTCTTTTTTAGACCGATCGGCTGCTCCCGGTTGAACTTGATCTACACATCTTAAACCCAACACACTTATATTTTGGGTGTGAAGCTGCGTTGTGTTTTGAACCCTTTATTTACCACTCGCTGTAATTTTAACGGTTTTCGAATGAATAGAACTTTTTACAACAGCGCTCAACGAATGGTCAAACAAAACGGTGTCACCCAAAATTGGTGTGCTTTGGTTTAAGAACGCTGTAGATCAAGTTTCAACGGAGCGCGATCTTAAAAAGAAAAATTAGGGAAATGATTTGATCTAGGCCGCGCGTCCTTAGTGCGGAGCCTAGGGGTTGTCACCTTAGATTCACTCTTTTCTTATATGATATATATATACTATATATATTATATTATATATATATATATATATATATTATATATATATAATATATATATATATATTATATATAAAATATATATATATAATATAATTGTATATGTATATATATAATGTATGTATGGTATTTATGTATGTATGTATTTATGTAATGTATGTATGTATATATATATACATACATTATGTAGTATGTACTATATTTATACATACATTACATACATATATATATATATTATAATATATATATATATATATATATATATATATGTATGTACATACATACACATAAATCATACATATACATATACATACGATACATACATACATACATACATACATAATACATTACATACATAATAATACTATATATATTATATATATATATATATATATATTATATATCATATATATATATATATATATATTATATTATATATATTATAGGGGAAATAGTGAATCTAAGGTGACACCCTTAGGTCTCCCACTAAGAAGCGCGCCTAGAATCACATTCATTTTCCTTTTTTTTTCTTTTTGCCGATTTCCGCCTCCGCTGTTAAGCTTGATCTAACAACCGTTTCTTAATCTTAAAACCGCCAACGACTACTCAAATTTTTGGGCAGTGAAGCAGCCCGTCCGTGTTTTGACACATTTATACCACTGCTATAAATTGTTTAAACCGTTTCGAATGAATAGAACTTTTAACAACGGCTCAAGCGAGATGGTGCAAACACAACGGGTTCAGCCCCAAAATTGGTTGTGTTTGGGTTTAGAACGTGTTAGATCAACTTCAACGGAGCGCGATTGCGAAAAAAAATTTAGGGAAATAGATGTATTCTAGCGGCCGCCATCCTATAGTGGGAGGCCTACGGTGTCACATTAGATTCACCTTTTCGCCCATATATATACTAATATATATATATATATATATATATATTTATATATATATATACTATATATATATAATAATATATATATATGAGATTTATTGGGTATCATTGTCATAGGAGGGGCATTTTCCTCCTTGACGTCTCTCAAAATCAACATGTCTTGAGCGACATTATGGATGATCCGCTCCGTTGACTTGATTAACATATCTAAAACCCCAACACACCAAGTTTGGGCGTGAATCGCGTCGTCGTTTGAACCCCACCATCGAGCCATATGAAAGTTCGTATTCATTTCCAAAACCGTTAAAATTGATAGCGAGTGGATGAAGGGTCCAAAGCGACGGACGGCTTTACCCCAAACTTGCTGTGGTTTTGGGTTTTAAAGAATATGTAGATCAAGTCAACGGAGCGGATCATCCCAATATTCGCCTCATCATGGTGATTTTAGAGGCGTCAATGAGGAAATCCCACTCTATGAGCAATGATACCCATTAATCTAAATATATATATATATATTATATATATATGATATATATATATATATTATATATATATATATATATATATATATATATATATATATATATATATATATACTATATTATATATATTATATATATATAATTGTCACGCCCCCTGCTGTCTCCCAAAATACCCCGGAATCGGAACGTGAAGCAAGCTCAGCGACGTATTAGATTTGAGAAGACATATACACTATCTCTGTTCTCTTTTCTTCCTCAATCCCAATTACGCTAAGCGTCTAGAAACAATACACATACGAAGTCACACGGTCCCGGCATACACACATAGTAAGGAAATTAATAAAGACAACACCAGATATAAAATAGATATATGATCAATGGTAAATCATCCGCCAGACAGATAAAAATATGGGTCAAAATACCCTTATTACAACAACAGTTCAAGCTAGGAAATAACGAAATATCATAGTCGCATAGATAAAAGGAAAGTAACTATAAAAAGAACTAAACTCTCAAAATACTAAAAGAGAAATATTGCATAAATAATTGCTTAATATCCCTCAACACAAATAAAAAAATGTCTAAGCTCGCCGCTTGCTCTTCTGCTCTACGCATCTGCGAATACACTCCGGCTGCAAGGCATCTCCATACTTGGACCTGTCCGTCATCTAAATCTGACGTACACCAGAGAAAACAGGTGCCTACGTCAGTAGTGGTGATGGGCACACAAGCAAATCCAAAGGAAGAATAGAACGGTCGTGTTGCGACCATGCAATAATGCGTAATCACACGAATAGATAAAAGCATGGAACTGGAAAACTAATAATCTAAAGAGAAAATATCAAATATCAAAGTCATAGTACAACTAGAATGGAATTGATACTTAAAAATCTAACAACGTCGAGACGTAGGTACCGTCGAGCAAATAATCCAAACAAGGAAACCCTCCATGTATATACCATATGCCTCACATTGTCGGTATGATTAAATATTAATCCCGATCTAGGTATGGAAAGAAACATAACTGGCTTATATCTCACAAGGATCCAAACTCATCCAAGAAACAATTCATGTAACTAGCCATTCTATAACAAGTCACTGGTCCAACCATCTAACCCCAATGCGTATCGGTTCACTGGCCCAACAGACTAATCCAGTGCGTATCGGTTCACTGGCCTAACAAACTAACCCAGTGCGTATCGGTTCACTAGCCCAACAGACTAACCCAGTGCGTATCGGTTTACTGGCCTAACAAACTAACCCAGTGCGTATCGGTTCACTGGCCCAACAGACTAACTCAGTGCGTATCGGTTCACTGGAGCGACCCTAGAGGATACATAAACAGTCACGTCTAATCACACGTACCAAGATTTCCCATTCCGGCTATTCTTATTTTCTAAGCCAGCAACACACAAGCCTCTAAATCTTATTCATGTCACATAGATCACTATAGTCATGTATTTCTCTTGATTCTTAAATATAACAAGGAATGATAAACACAATTAATACTAATTAACAGTATCATAAATAAAAAACAGGAACCATGAACATCTACTATAAACCGTACATGAGGAACTATCATTAACAGATATCATGCACAATTCTGTCGTGTTGAGGGTTGTAGAGGCGATGCGCTTTGCTTCCTTCTTCTACCCCAATATACACCATTTGCGTGTTCCGGTCGTCGAGTTTCTTATGAGAAGGACCTGCAAT